TCAGTACCAATAAGATATATGATTGAAGCCCAAATGCAAACCTATTGTGAAGAGAAACTCAAGCTCTACTCTGTTCTCAGAAAAATAATAATTAATGGTAAACATCAGTTTATAGTAAAAAATGACAAAACACATGAGCAAATTATCTACCATGAAAGAAAGCAGACACAAGAAACAAGAGGATCAGTACCCTCAATATTTAAACTACTAAAACAATCTTAAAAGGCCTTTACAATTAGTTGTAGAAAACTTAAGAATAAGACTCCCTATAAAAGAACACACAGCTTTTTAAAAGAAACAAATAAACCTTACAGAAATAAAAAAAAATCCATATTAAAAAGTCAATGGATTCTTTAAGCAGCAGCAGACTAGACACAATCAAAAAGAAATTAATGCACTCTAGTATAAGCTTAAGGAAATTATCCAGAATAAATTACATAAACAAACATAAATAAATATATATCTAGACACAGTTCAGTGAAACTTCAGAACATTAAAGAAAGAGTAAACAGTTTGCAAGCCATCAGACAAGGGGAAAAGCCAGACTACTTACAGACTACTTGCAAAACTAAAAGCCAGAAGACAATGGAATAGTATCTTTACAATATTTTGATTTACATAGTATGGAGATAAATTATTCCTACAGAGCACATTTTAAAAAGGTGTCTTAGACAAAGAATGAGGGAATTTACAACTCCCAGATCATTCTTGAAACAACTTCCAAAGTGCTATAAAACAAAAAAGCAATGGTTTATAAAAAAGCAATGGTGAGTAAACAAGTTGGTAAACATTTAATTTATGATAGGCAGAAACAACAATAATACAGTATTTGGTGGGTTTAAAAGCACAGAAGAACTAAAGTAGTAGAAACCATCACATGAAAGAGATGGAAGGCAACCTAAGTTAGAGAGTTATATGTTTTTTGTCCTGAAGGAGAGAAGAGATCCTGACCAATTAAAACATGTTTTAAAAGTTAAGGCTAACTACTAAAAAAAAAAAAAAGGGTATATTTCACATACTAGTAAAGAAAAAAAGGAATAGAGAAAACTCAATAAATCCAATAGAAGGCAGGCAGGCAGGAAGGAAGGAAGGAAGGGAGGGAGGAAGAAAAAAAAGGAGAATCGAGCCCACATAAAATGGCAATAGAAATAAATCCAAACTTTTTGGTAACCACAGTACATTTTTAAAGAGTAAATCTACCAATAATAGAGGTATTTCAAATCCCTCTGTATTCTATTTATAAGACAAAATCCTAACACGAAATAATAATAAAAAAAAGAATTGAAAATGGAGGAAAGGGGGAAAATATGCCGAGGGAATGTTACCAAAAGAACTACTATACCTATGCTATTAGCAAACAAAATAGAAATTAAAGCATAAAACACTTTCATATAAAGAAGGTTATTACATAGTGATAAAAGAATGATTTATCAGAAAGCTATACCAATCCCAAACAGAGATGTCTAAGGTAAAAAAGCTTCAAAATATAAAAAGCAAAATGTATTAAATGACATGAAGGAGTTGAAAAATCCCTAAGCCTAGTACAAGCTTAATTGCCATTTAAAATAGACCCCCATCCCTAAAAAAAGGAAACTTTGAAACACAATTAACATACTTGAACCAACAGATACATATTAATATATTAATCCCTGTACCCAGCTATTAGAGAATGAAACTGGCTTTCAAAAACATATGGACAAGCACTAGAATACAAAGTAAGTCTCCATACATACTAAAAACATGTGTTATACAGACCACAGTGTCATGTAATTAAAGAGCAATAAAAATAAAAAGATAGTCTCAAAACCTACATATTAAAAAATCTTAAAATACTATCTAAAAATTTATACATCAAAAAAATTGTGAAAATTAGAAAATTGTTAGAGCTATATAATAATGAAAGCCCTATATATTAAATTTATGGAGATAAACTGGAATGCAGAGAGAAATTATATGACTATATATAAAATATACATGAGTGCAGCTGAAAAAGCTAAGTGGCAAGCACGAAATGTTAGGAAAAAAACAGAATAAACCTCCAAAACACAGAAGAAATGTAATGAATACAGATAAGAAGCAAAATAAATGAACTAGAAAGTCAAAGAAAGAACAGAGAATCAGGCAAACTAAATGACAGTTCTTTGAAAAGAAAAACAAAACAAATATATCTCTGCCAGTATGGAGAGGGAAGGAGGAAATAAGAAACATGAGGGGGAGGGAGTTAGAGAGAGAGAGAGAGAGAGAGAGAGAAGGAGGAGAAGAAAGGGAAGGAAAGGTTGATTTAAAAGGGGGCCAAATCACAAATATGACAGCATTTTCAATCAAAAGAGAACACTATTAACAAATGCATGCAACAAACTTGAAAAGTGAGATGAAATAGGCAATTTTCTAAGATATATAATCACGAACATTATTTTTAAAAACCTAGAAATTCCAAAGACATATCTAACCACTAAAAAAGTAATTCGGTAGTTAAAAATGTACTCACACAAAAACAAAGAAACAAACAAAAAACCTATTAGCTACTGATGGTGTTATGGGTAAGTTTTACTAAACCTATAAGAAACAGTTAAGTTATTGTTATACACAATGTTAGCATATTAGAGAAAGAGGAAAAACTCTCCAAGTAATTTTGTGACAATAAAATGACCTTAATAGCAAAGCCAAATGACAGTACAAGAAAGGAAAAGTATAGCTCACGCTCCTTTTTGAGCACAGTTGCAAAAGTTTACAACATAACATGAGCAAGTGAATCCTGAAATATGGTTGTGTTTTTTGTAATAATGACAATGAATGTCCATTCTGGAAAAGCATGTTTTCATGGTAGACAACACATCTACGACTAAAGATATTTATAGTATATATATATTTCATGATAGTATAGTGTGTGTGTGTGTGTGTATATATATATATATATATATATACATATATATATAATATACTTCATGATTGTAGTATATATAGTTCATGATTAAAAAGATTAAATTATATCCATTTAAATCAACATATTAACACATTAAAATTATTTTAGGAATGGATATAGAAAAATGTTTTTTATAAAATTCAACATCCATTCACATTTCAAACAATAACAGCATCAAAAGCTCTGCAAGGTTTTCTTTTACTTAATAAATGGTTAACTATCAAAAACCTGTAGCAATTTGGGACATGGATAACAGTATGGTTGCACAACACTTAATGACTGTACTTAATGCCCTTGAATTGTACACTTAAAAATAGTTACAATGGTACATTTTTTATTATATTTTACTACAATTTTAAAAACCTTATACCAAACATTATACTTAACATGGAATTATTAGAAGCAATTCCTTTAAATTATGAAGTCACAGTGGCCTATTCTCATTGCTTCTATTCAACTATGTATCAGAAATCCAGTGCAATAAAACACAGAACAATAATTAAGTATGGAGATCAGAAAGAAAAATTTTTACAAGTGATATTACTGTCTATACAAAAAGTCCCAGAGAATCTATACATAAGCTACTAGCTCTAAAAGAACATTTAACAATTTGTTGGATGTAAGGTATTCAATGTACAGAAATTAGTGATGTTCTCATATGCTAGCAATTACCAATTAGAAAATACAGTTTTAAATATATGGCACTAATGATAGCAAGAAAAACTATAAGCTGTCTAGTTATAAACCTAACATAAAATTATAAAACTGTATTGAAAGGCATAGAAAAAGACATGTGCAAATAGATATATGTAGTTTTTTTGGGGAAAAGATTCAATATGAAAGATAGCAATTACCTTCAAATTAATATATAACTTATAGCAATCTTAATGAAAGCCCTAGCATAGATCATGGGAACTAATAAGCTGATTCCAAAATTAATATGAAAGAGGAAAGAAAAACCAAGACAACTTAGAAGAGGAACAAGGAAAGGATATTCGTTCTCCTAAATATAGTGATATTATAAAGCTAGAATAATTAAAGAGACATAGTGTTGACATAGGAACTGACAAACCATAAAACCTAGAAACAGATCTACATATAGATGGGAACTCAGCCTAAGGCACAGGTGTCATAAGAAATCTATTGGAAAATGAAGACTATTCAATAAAAAGTGCTGGTTAAAAGGCTGACTCTATAGAAAAGGACCAAACTAGACCGTACACCATGCCACACACACAAACAAATTCCAGAAGGATTAAAGTCTTAACCATGAAAGGCAACCCTTTAAAGCACTCAGAGTAAAAATATATGAGAATAGCATTATGACATTAGGGCAGAGACAAATTTCTTAAACAAGGAACAAAATGCACAAGTCATAGAAGAAAAGAAAAAGAAATTAGGCTACATTAAAATAAAAGCTAAAGAAAATTTCCAGGCATCTAAGGACATCTATAAATGTGGAGACAGAAAGACACATATATAAAGTATACAACTGCAAAGGAATCGTACCCAGAAAAACAGAAAGAACAGCCAAATCAGTCTGAATAGATCCACCACCCAACAGAAAACTGCCAACAGGAATGAAAAGGTCAGGAAATCCAAACAACAACAGCAAAAAAAAAAAAATAATAAAAAATAAAAAATAAAAAAAAGGTCCACCCTCATTAGTAATCAGGAAAATACATGTTAAACCACCAAGAAGCATTTCTAATCTATCAGATTTCAGTAAGTCCTGACTATTTGGTGCCTTCAGTACAGATACCTAAGGGACTTTCCTAGAACAGAGAGCTGAAACTGCCGTCAATTGAGGAAACATTAATTAGGACTTTTTCCAACCACCAATAAACAGGACTAGAAATCTCCTATATTCGAGGACGCATTCTTATGCATTTTGAATGCTTCCCAAACTCTAAATGATCTAACACAGCCAAGCGCTGTTTCTTCCAAGCTGGTGGAAATACTTCCTCACACAAGAGGGCATCCATGCTTCCATCTGTCAGAACGTAATCCTGGGCATGCCGGTGGCATTGGCCCATCTGGGAAAGTTGTACCCTGAGGAGAAAGGTAGGGGGCTTACTTGGAGCAGTCTTCACAAGCAATGTTCCCTGAGGTTTCCTTGATGGTGCGCTCAGAGACAAAAGCTGGATATTCAGTATCACAAGGTTCCAGGGTCTGTTTCAATTTCTGGGCTGTAGGGATAAGGAAAAAAAAAAAAGAAAAACAGAACGTAAGGCACAGGCTTTATTGTGACTGGCAGCCCATAGAAACTCCAAACGCAGTTCCGCTCCTGCTGCTCTGCGATTTTTCTAGGCACAGCATAATGCATTATTTTCTAATTAGTCAAGTGATTTCATCTGCCAAGCAACTCTATAAGCTATAATTCCTCAAGCAGTTGTGTTGGCTTGATCAGCTATCATTTATGCATCACAAGAATTCTACTTTCTGGGACAACATCAGTCACTGGGTCTCTGACCTCAGACTTAACTTGAATTTAGCAACAAACACATATGTATATCTAAATAAATGTATAAAATATAAGTTACACCATATTATTTAGGGTGAGACAAAGGTCATGATACAATTGCACGGTTTTATTACAGAAACAAAATTGAAATATGGACTAGTAAAATACGTCATGTCTTTGAACCACAGCCATGAGCGCAGTCCTACTATTATGAAGTTCCTTGTCCAGCAATACAGCACTAAATAACCCTGGTATGTAAACGAGGACATAGTAGGCACTTGGTAAAGGCTTGTGGTTGATTAAATTTTTTAAACAAGTTATGTCCAGTGGGCAAGTTCCAAAACCTCTCTAAGTCTCCATTTTTGAAATTTGTAAGATGGAGATAATAGAGTTCTTCTGTCAGAGTTGATGGAGAAGTGCACAGCACAGAAACAATATATGCTGAGTAGTTAGCACAGTGCCTGGAACATAAAGTGCTAAGTGTCAGTTATTAATAATAATAATAATAAGAAGAAGAAGAAGAAGAAGAAGAAGACGAAGAAGAAGAAACAATAAGTGAAACAACGCTAGCATTCTAATAAAGCCATTGTGACATTAAAACATGAGGAAGACAGACGCCATAGCACAGTAGACAGTGGTTAAAGCTCTGAAGCCAGAGAAATTTGGAACACGAGTCCCTACTCCCTTCCCCCAGCTAACCCTCAGTATTCTCATCTGTAGGAGACACCAGTGGTACAGGGATCTGCACCGGAGGTCCACTGCTTCACATTTCCCCAGTAGAATGCTTACAGCTTTCCAAACTCTGCAACGTTTTTGGCTGATGTTCATATAAAATATAAACATATATTTATAAATAGGTATTACATATACTATATGGTATAGGCATATAGATAGTTTAAAACTGCACAACTCAATAGGGTTTTAACAAAATGATGTGTGGACAAGGTCTCATGTTATATTCGAAATACAGTTGCATGGATGTCAGAACCACCCAATTGGGTAGATGTTTTGTGGAACGTCCATCTGGGAGGCCACTGGCACGAAGTGGACCATCACATGGTTAGCAAAAGCCAAACACCTGTTTGGTGACAATCAGATAATCCTTGGGTGATCAGGGAACCATGCTCTAAGCACTCATATCATAGTGTGATTGGTTTTTTTTATAATGTAGGTTTTTCCCTGAGCTTTACTTATTTTGAGTAAATTAATTTGGTGTTTGGGATTTAAGTGTAGGTAGTACATTGTAATTTTTCCTATTTAAAACAAAAGGAAGTCGACTTTCAATCAGCTTTTTTTTCTTTTTCAAATGCAGAACACGTGATTTTCAGGAACCAGTCATTGACCTAAACAGGGGATGCCCATGCTAACTCACACGGTTTTTCTGAGGAATCAATGAACTAAAGCATTGTAGTTCTGAACAGACTGACACACACGCATGCTTTCACACACATGTATGTACACACACAACCTTCGTGAAATGCTGGCTGTTATAGTGTTACCATCCACATGCCAGGAGTTGGGCAAATTACGTAGTAGCTAAGAGCATGGCTCTGGGGGTTGTGTATTTGCCCCTGTTGTGTGATCACAGATGAGTTTTTAATCTCCCTATGCCTTGTGTAGAGACTGTCCTCATGTACAAAATGGCAATAACAGTAGCAACTTCACATGGTCGTTTGAGGCTCAAACGAGTTGATACGTGCAAGTGGCTGACCCATTCTGAGAGCAATGTAAGGGCCTGTGCTTACGGCCATCACGACCTCTACTGCATGTGTCATTTGACTGACTCCTCAGACTGTCAGCCTTTCCAAGCCATATCTTCTTGGTTAGAAAAGGCAAGCAGATGGCTACCTCCCTGACTCCTGACTCCACTGATGGTGCAGCGTTGGTAGTTGTCATGCTCCCAAAGGGCCAAGTCCCAGACCCTGTCTGTCCCCTTGTGCCCTGCAGTGCTAGCTCACAGGAAGCATACATGCTTGCTGAATAAATGAATAATTCTCCTGAATGGTGCTTTTCAAGCAAATAAAATGAACAAAGGAAATGTGAGACTCTCAGTCTGTAATGACAAATTGCCTGCCTCTAGGTGGAGGGTGAGGTGAGTTTAGGTGGCCCAAGCCCCACAGACAACACAGAGTGGCTCTCAGTGGGAATCTTATTCTCTTTCTGGTTCTTTTCCAATGCCTTCGATTTTGTCAGGAGGACCCTTTTGTTTGATGCTAGGGAGTTTTTATCATCTTTCATTTGCTCTCCTCTTTTTTTTTTCCTTGGGAAGCTAAACATAAAGCTGGGAAGGTTCCCTTTAGTATTTACATTAATTAGATGTCAAAAAGTGAGTCCAATGAAATGAAATAAAGATTAAATAAATAGCATCGATTATAAGTGAATATGGCACAAGCATGCAGATGGCATTTATAACCTAATGATGGTAACAGCTAAATTTATTAAGAAACTATTATGCACCAATGATGTTCTGCTTTACATGAATTAATTTATTTAACAGTAAAGCAAGACAAACACAAACACATATACACACACATAAAAACTATGAGGTAGAAACCATTGTCATCCCTGTTTTGCAGATGAGTGAATGGAGGAAAGGCCTGAGTACATTGCACAAATTTATCCATTGACTATGTGGCAGAGCCAAAATTTGAACTTGGGCTGTAGCACATATATATTTAACTGCTCTGTGAAGTTTGGCCAATGAGCGAAAGGAAGAAAGGTCTTTGGGGCAGGGTGAGATAGGCAGCACACAGCATTTAAATAAGCCCGATAATTGCACCATCTCTAATTCTAATTATCTGGGCCCAGTTACCATGGAACGAGTCCAACACATTCAACGGCAAGACTCATTTGGCTCTGATCCTTTCTGGAGATGAAATTTTCCACAGATCCCTGTACCAGTGGTGTCTCCTAAAGATGAAAATACTGAGGCTTAGCTGGGAGCAATGGAACAGGGACTCGTGCTCCTAAATTCTCTGGCTTTAGAGCCTTCACCTTTAACCACTGTCCACTGTGCTGTGGTATCTGTCACCCTCACATTTTAATGTCACAATGGCTTCATTAGAATGCTAGCATTGTTTTTGATTATTATTATTATTATTATTATTATTATTATTGTCATTAACTGACACTTAGTACTCTTATATTCCAGGCACTGTGCTAAGTACTCAACATATATTGTTTCTGTGCTGTTCATCTCTCCATCAACTCTGACAGAAGAACTATATTATCCCCAACTTATAAATTAAACTCCCTTTGACAATTGCAGGGCACCCATACTGATGTGGTGGTAAACTGTTGAGTCTCTTTGCGGCATGACTATAGATTGGCTGGAGGTTGCTTGATGTGCTTTTGGAGAAACACACGAATTATCATATAAAATCATGGCCACATTTAATTTAAATAACATGGTTTATTATGAAGACCTTCCTTTGTCTGGAGTAGTATGGAAAACACCACCTATAATAATATTTGCCAGTTGTTACTATTTATCCTTGGAATTTCAAACCAATGACCAAGGCTACCAGCGATCCAATGAGTACTCTTAGGCGTTGAAATTTATTATCTGAAAAAGGTGTGAGTACACAAGGATCATGGAGCTCAGTGACACTGATTCTTTCCTTTTACAGAAGGAAAAACTGGGGTTCAAAAAGCAGACATAGCCTGCCTTGAGTCCCACAGAGTGGCGACAGACCGCAACCATCATTTACTTAAACAGCAAAACCGCTGCTGCCACCACTACTGTCCCAACCAACACTGATTAAGCGCTTACTACGTGCCAAACATCATGCGAGGCCCTTTGATGGATAGAGTCCTTGCCATCACATAGTGAGCAAGTCCCTACTGCTATCACGTTTCACAGATGAAGAAACTAAAGCGCTGAGAAATGAAGATGCCTGCCCAAAGTCACACTGCTGTTAAGTGGTGGGGCCCAGATACAGACCCAGGTGGTGACATCCTGGAACCTACGCTCTTTGCCATCACACTGTTCTCCCTTCCACCCCAGTTACACTGGGTGCAACGCTGAAGCCACCGTGACCTATCACTCACTCACTCACAATGAAGCACCCACACAATTGAATATCTTTAATTTTCCCTTAGCAACAAATGTCCCTGATGAGAATAACTGACTTGGGTTCACAGTAATTATGTGCAGACAATGGGGAATGAATAGAGTTGCCATTTGAAAAGCTTTCCTCTTCTTTTGTCTCTGTGAATGCACCCCCATTCATAACCGGGTGCCAGCAAGCTCCATTCTCTTTGTGCAACTTCGCCAAAATGATACCTTTGTGATAATCAAGCAGAAATGGGCTTCCACAGTCCCCTTCATTAAGGAAATGAAGCAGATAAACAGTGTAATTATGGATTCCATTTTTAGCTAAACAAAGATGTATGTCTCAGCTCAGGGTCTTTATCTCGTGAGGGAATGGTAAATTTAGAATGAAGAAACTTTACAAGTCAATATAGTTACGGTGCTTGAAACTTTTCTCTCCTTATACTGGGTCTAAGATTTACATTTACATTTCACGGAGATATCCAGATGGTAGCAGCCCCACAAATGAGTTTATTCACTCTCATTTGATTCAGTTTCTTCATCTATAAAAGGGAAAAAGTCATAGCTGCTCCCAGCAGAGGGCTTTAGGCCTGAATGTGACACTCACGTGCCACAGCCTGCCCAACATGGGGGCTCCCAGAAGGTCAGTTTCCTCTCTGCCCGCTGTCCAGTTGAGGTGGTGGGTCTCGGGTTAGGTTTGAGCCCATGATCTATTAACTGTCTGACTTAGGTGCCTCACAAAAAGGTTCAGTGACAAACTCTAGCAGTCCCCGCCTATCAGCTATGTTGAAGGGATCTGAAGATAATCTAGCGCCAGTACTCTGGAAACAGAAAAGCACTAAACATTGGTGCACTGTGTATCAACGATATAATTATTTGACAAGGTCTTTCTATAGTCTGTGAGGGAAAAGGTCTCAGGGTGTGGCAAGGGCATGAGATGACTTGGATTTTATCTATTCAGAATCTTTTCACAAAGCTTTCAAAAACAGAAACAGAGGACTAAAGCATCATGTTATTCTTAGCTAAAATTGTGTCCACTGTTGGTCCTGGTGGACAGGAAAGCTGGGGAGAGGGGATGTGAAATTTCAGAATGGGAACCTTCACAAGTGTCTCTAACCATCAATAAGCGCAGCGACCATAACCTCCTTCCTTTTTCATCATCCCCTGCCCCACACTCCTTGGTCTACACCAGGGTGTCTCCACAGTGGCGCTACAGTCGTGCCCCCATATCCACGGTTTTGCTTTCTGCGGTTTCAGTCACCCGTGGTCAACCACGGTCCGAAAATACTAACTAGAAAATTACAGAAATAAACAATTCGTAAGCTTCAAGTGGTAGGTAGTGTGATGAAGTCTCGTGCCCTCCAATTTCACCTTGCCTGAGACGTGAATCATCCCACTGTCTGGTGTATCTATGCTGCAAACACTACCTGCCCATCACTCATGTGGTGGCAGTCTCGGTGATCAGAGAGAGACCACAGTCACATTCATTTTATTACAGTATATTGTAATAATTGTACAATTTAGTTATTGTTAATTTCTTAATCTGCATAAATTACAAATTTAGGTATGTATGTATAGGAAAAAATATAACATTTGCAGGCTTTGGAAGTAACCACGGTTTCAAACATCCACTGGGGCCTTGGAGCATATTATTGGTAGATAACGGGTGATTACTCTATTGACATTTTTTTTTTCTATTGACAGTTTGAGTCGGATAATTCTTTGTTGTCAGCAGCTGTGTGCTGTAGGATGTTTAGCAGCATCCCTGACCTCTACCCACTAGATGTCAGGAACACACCCATCCCCAGGCGTAACAACCCAAAATGTCTCCAGATGTTGCAATGACCAGTGGTAGGCAAAATCACCCCCAGGTTGGAAACTACTGGTTTAGGCAAAGATCACAGGTACTCAATAGAGACTCAGAAACTAGTTGTCGAATCTGATGGACCAGAGCCAGGGGGTTGGCAGGTGCCTGTGTGGGCAGATCACCGGGAAGGTGAGAGGGTCCAGGTGAGAATAGGGGAAGTGAGAATGGAGGCTGGCATGCAGGAGGGTATCCTCAGGCTCACAATCAAAGCCCCTCCGCCAGGGAGGGGCAGGCACACCGGTGTGAAGAGGAATGTCAAAAAGCAAAGCACTGAAGGCAGCCAGCCTTCTGCCCTCAGCACTAAGTACACTCCTAACAGCCAGGAGCCTTACCCAGAAAACACCGCCACCACCCAAACATGAACACCGCCCTCCAGGCGGAGAGCCCCTGCTCCGTGCATGTCTTGCCATGGACTTTGCCTGCACTGTGGAATTCATCTCCCACAACCGCATTATGTTATCTGCTGACCAGCGAGGAACTCAAAGCCCAGAGAGACCACATGATTTGTCCAGAACCTCTGCAACTAGCAAGAGGCAGAGGAAGCTGCCTGACCCCAAAGCCGGAGCACGTCATTTATAGGTGAAACAGCCTCCCAGAGCTCAAAGTACAATGCAGAAGGTGGAGTGGCTTGTCCCCAGGCACTGGTGCTGCAGAGAGAGCAGCCATTGAACCAACTTGCAACCCATTCTCTTAGCCTCTATTCACTTTCTTCCTTTTCTCTCTTTTAACCTCATTTATCTTTTCTTAAACCCCTAATAGTAAAATTGTGGAAAAGCTAGTCAAATAAGAAAAGTACATTAAAAAAAAAAACCCAAACAAGCATCCATTTAGTAGGTTCCTTCTCACCTCTTTTTCAAATCACGTGCAATTTTAAACAAAGCAGGTTCATGCCATAGGTGAAATTTTCTTTGGGGCACAATGATAGTCTTTTCTTCCTAATTGATATGTTGGTCTCTACTCACTGACTTCCCGTTGGCGATACTGACTGCAGATGCTGTTTAACTCTACACCCTCCTCCTCCACCATTGAATGCTGTTTTGGGGGTATATACAGTTCTGTATATTGTTTTTTCTTGTTATATTACTTAATTTCATGAGCATTTTTGATCTTGAAGAAAAGTTTTCAGGAACAGAATCTTTTAGAAAGTTTTCTACGCCCTTCTGTGGATGGGTTGTAATTTATTTTAAAATGTCCCAGTTGTTCATCGTTTAAAGGTTTACCAGTATTTGCAATCATAAAGTCCTGGGTGATAGCCACTCTGTCATAGAACCCTTGTTCCCATCTCAGTTAATTTCCTTAAATTGTATTTCTAAAAGTGATGAATTGTGAGCAATCACTGTCATTCAAAGATGGTACCAACCCAGGAGGAAGAGGCAAGGGTCAGCCCATGCCTGGAGGGTCCCCGGGAGAGTGTATGTGGATGAAAGCAGGTTCCTGGTCCACTGGGCTGAGTGTTTCCCAGGATAGAGCCAATCTGGGACACACTTGGATCACATTCATTGCTGTCAGAGCTGCTCCATGCAGGCATATGCATGCATAGAACTCTATCTGCATGGGTTACTCCACCTCACATTCCAACTAACAAGAAATTAATGGGTTCCTGAATTCAGGCAAAATGGGTCTAGTTGTAACTTGCACAGCTATGATGACAGTGGCTATACTGGTCATGCCTGGCAAAAGAAAGATGTGCTAGGGCATTCAGTGAGCAGAGATGGAGCACCTGCTATGCATTGAACAGCAGTTAGGTGTTACAGGGTAACAGGGGTTAAGACACAGCTCCTGTCACCAAGAAATTCTAGTTCCATGTGGATCGAACAAACCGAGGCAATAATGGTGTGCAAGGGCTGGGAAATATGTGCGTTGACTGGGACAGAGGCAGGAAGGAAATGTTGCTGATTCTTCCTGGGAGAACTGAGGCAATTCTCAGTGACTGGGGTTTTAAGGGAAGGGAGAGGGAATGTCACATTGAAATACAGAGGGTGCCAGACAAATGTATACACGTTTGAAGAAAGGAAAAAAACTGTATTAAAATTGTCATACTCAATGAATACCAATAGCAAAAGATGAATACAAGGGCCGGCTGAGTGGCTCAGTTGGTTAAGAGCTCGCTCAAGAGTTTGAGCTCTGAGCAACAGCGGTTCGAGTCAGCCCGAGCTGAGCAGCCGTGAGCTGCCAACAGGTGGCGGGATGGCTCAGCTAAAAAAAAAAAAAAAAAAAAAAAAAAAAGATGAATACAAGTCACGTGTATACATTTTTTTGGCACCCCCAGTATATCCAGCACCTGGGGGAATGCTGATACACCACTAATCTACCTCTTTTTAAATGGCAGATAATTAAAAACAATCATCCTGGTAGCCGTCTGCTCATGCCTGACATCCCAGGTAAAAAAAAAAACTCCACATGAATAAATGCACCAAGGAAAAAAAGAGCAGAGTGTATCTGAGAAAGAGCAAGTGACTTAACAGGCGGGGGGACAGCTGGGAGACAAGCCTCATTAAAGAGCATTAGTTTGTAGGGCATAGGGACTCAAGTATTCATCACTGCTGTGGTCACACTGTCATCACCATTATCAGGAATTAATTACAGCCACCATTTCTTGAGAGCTTACTGTATTCCAGTCACTGTGCTTAGCAAGTAACATGATTTATCTCATTACATACACACATGCGCGCGCGCACACACACACACACTAATGATGGGAGATAAATATTACTTATTATTTTGCTCTTTTGCTTCCTGTAGGGAAACAGAGCCTTGCCCAGATGAACTAACTTGCCAAAGGCCAATCTTGGAGCCAGGATTCAAATTCATGCTGATCTAAGGCAACATCTCACACTTCAAAGAGTTTCTACTAATTACTTGCTGAAATCACTGAAGGTTTTTGTGCAGGAAAACTAGTATGATTACATTTGTGTTTTATGAGGGTAACTGTAAAAAAGAAACAAAAACAAAAACAAAGGAGTAGCTATCTCTTCATTCAGGCTGAGAAAGGCGGTGTGTCTGTCTCCCTTCAAGTCTGGCAGTGCCCACGAGCTTTTTGAAGACTTCACCTGTGCAATATATGACTGCAAAGCCTTAGTTAAGGAAATAGGTCAAAGTGTATATTCAATGCGGGCTGAATGAAGCCTGGGGAATTTTTGTCAGACTGGATGGTGCTGCACCTAGCACAAGGTGCAGAGCTGAAAAATCATCACTTTGTCCTGGGTAGCTGTATGTGAACACATCCCTGATGAAAAGTAGCCAGTGAACCCAGGGCTTACCACTCTGAGCTAAGAAAGAGAAACCAGTTTCTGCTTACCTTTAGCTGTCATATCTGAGTGCCACCAGCTGCAGAGGTTAAATTCCACCAGGAACCTGCACAGGTGATGGAAAAGCCCAAAGTTACTTGGTCATCCACACCCTGAATAGAACAGTGATATCCTGTTATTCAGCAATGCTCACCTCATTTGAAAGAATAAGATCAGAATCTGGAGATCTCAACATGGTTGGTCCTGGTACCATTGAGTTTTCACTGGGCTCTCTCTTATTTGTGATAGGGTATTTTATCACCAATGCCAACCTAACCCTGAAATCAGGTTTACCTAGACTCAAGGCCTCTGCTGAGAAATATCCTGCTTTATAAGCAGAAATAGTTTCTAGTTAGAGTCTGAATCCATAGTAAAAAATCAACTTCTAAAGGTCTTCCTCTGCCTTGGTTCAGAAATACAACTAGAATATTCTTTACCAAACTATGATCTGCAGTAATAAACGATGCTTTCAAAATTTATACTGCAATGCAATGTTTAGCCATGTGTGTGGCTGTGCGGGTGGTAGTGGTGGAGGGGGGGCAGGTGGGACAAACTTCTCTTTATGAAATTATGCCACAATGCAAATTTAAAAAAAATAAACTTTCTCGATTGCTCATAAAGAATGCAAAAGTAATATAAAACATCCTCAAAATGAATGGAGACAGACCAAAATTTAGCCATTTCTTTTCTAGGCACATGGCTCTCTCTAGGAACTCACTCTCAATCAAAATCCCACTATTTTCTGCTACTGTATCTTTTTGTTTCTGATGTGTATACAGGACTTAACTCTCCACTTGAATTTACAACTTTGTTACATGAACATAGGTTACATTAAAATAATACAGAAGACAATGTTCATCGATGTCCGGTCATCAAATAATTTCTCCCTTAAACCAACAGAATTGAAACCTTGATGTGGAAAATAAGAATAAGAGAATTTGGTGCTGCTTGAATGACCTGCTTTCCATGCCTGTCTATTTCTCCCTTTCGTGTGACACAGTGTTTCTGTAATGTGTCATCTGGAAGTCAAGCCTTTCATCTTTGTGCCATTTCAAGTCTGACCTAAGTCACAGATGCATCCAGCACCCCCCAAGCAGGATGGAAAGTTGACAGGGTAAACAATTAAATCACACCTGAGAAAAGCCCCCAGCCCCTGGCCCATGACTATACAAGCCCCACTTCTGTACATGGCAAGACATCCAAAGTAGCACAGTGGACAGCCCTGGCAATTTGTTCTTCTGACCACAGCCCACCCAGGATGCATTAAAAACAGCCAGACATCTATGTTAAATTTAACAGTAACCACAGTAAATACATTTGGTTTGTGTATTGCAAGCTGTTAGTCTGCTAAACAATTACATAAGGGCATAAGCAGTGACCATGAATAACTTAATAAAAGATAATTTTTTGGTCTCAGCGTTCAATATTCTGAGATTTTCAATGAGGTTATCTCTGAGTATTATGAATCTAATGGTTATTGAAAGCATCAGGCTCTCAATTCACTTACTAATACAAAAGAAAAGCAATAATACTTCTTAAAAAAGATGTAGCTGTTGTACTTACAAGACAAGTTCTGTCATTATCCATTTTACTGCAGCAAGGAAGGCATTATAAGGCTGAAGAGACAAATTTAGTTTATTAAAAAAAAATGTATCGGACGCAAAAATTGTAGTTTAACTTAAGGCTTTACATAAAGACAATGTTATTCTTTTAGAGAGATTGATATCATGTCAAAAAACAGTGAAGCTCTAGCTGAATGAAGAAAATGGTTGGATACTATATCCCAAAACTAACATTTTAAAACTTTGAACTCCCCTGTAGTGAGATGTGATTTACAAGTAAAATAAACATGATCTAATACAGGGGTTATCTCTGGGAGGAAAAAGGAAGTTCAGCAAAGGATGCTTAAACCTTTACCCTCTAGGGGATAATATTTCACAGCCTAATGCTGAGAGTCTGGAGTCATATAACTAATTTCAAATGGTAATTTACAGGGCTGCCTCTCGGAAAGGTGCTTGCCTGTTCTCCATCACTGTATGTCATTCATGGAAACAAGCAAAAATTGCATATACTCGATTTTAATGCCGCCCATGAATTATGTATGATGCAAGCTGCCTTTTCTCACACTTCCATATTTGGACTTGAAAAAATGATAACCATATAAACATGTGATTTTATCCTTGCAAAAAAATCCCCTTCACTCTATAAAAGAAGGCATTGACAGCCTAATCTTTACTTCAGAATATTTTAATTAAGAAAAGTAGTTGGATTGTTTACTCTTGTGATATTTCCTATGTGGATAATTCAATTTCCTGAATTCTGGAAAATACCAAGTCTTCCCCTCAGTTAGTTCTTTGTACTGAGGTAGGCCAGCTATGTAAGTGGTGGGCAGGTTTGAAAGACAGGCAATGACATTGGCAAACCCCAGGCTCCAGATGGCAGGCTCAGAAAATTCTCAGAACCTTTTGTGGTTGTGTTTAGGTATCAGAGGGTTGAAATGCCAAATCCTGGTTTTTAAGTGATGGCTGCTTAATTTTATCTTCTGAGCATTTTGATGATAAGGACTAGAACAAGGAATGGGGGGATTACCCAGTTTTCAATAAAACAAGAATCAATGTATATACCTCTAACCAGTCTTGAAACGTCCCTATTTCCAGCCGGTAAGTAAACACAAACCACAAATATCTACTGGGGTGACTCCCAGTCCACCCAGATTTCAGACTGCATTTCTTGCTCTGATTTGACTGAGTGTATCACCATCATTTCCTGAATCACAGGGCCTTCGGGAATAGGTTCAGATAAAGATGTGAACTATTAACTATTTCCTAAAACCAAATGCAACCTTCGTAGGCCTGTGGTTTTGACATTTTGAATCACAGGGCTTGAAAAACAATCATGTTTCTTTCAAATGACCCAGATGGTCAGACCATGAGACAGGTCTGTGTCTTTGTACCTGCTGGGATGGGTAGTGACATTTCTGGAGTCCTTGGTAGTGTGACTCTGAGGGAGGAGAGAATGAATAAAGGGATTAAGGAGGTTTTGAAGATGGAGAGGGGCAGGCACTGGGGCAGCTCACCCTGAGGCCAGCCGATAAGGGCACTCAAGCATTTCCTGCCAGACACTAGTTCAATGTATGGATAAACAAAGGGATTATGTAAATACAGGATTAAAAAATTTAAATGCACATTATCATTCAGAAGAATAAAGCCACTGAGCTTTTAAACTTTAATGATGAAAACGTACCTTGGGAACATCTTAAGTCTGGAAATATTCATGCTAAGGTTAGGAAACTTGAGTTTGGAAAGACAGGTTGATTCTCACTAAAAAGCAGTGTTTTTCAAAATGCCCAATTCTTAGTTCCTAGTTGTTTCAGAAATATTTTGTATCCCTGACTCATTTCTTGTTCCCTGACTGAAGAACTGTGTTATATATTTGGTTTTTAAATAATCCCCTTGCAAGACTGTACATCAGCAAATGAGAAGGTGTGTGTATTTTAAAACCAAAATGACTCTTAAATTTTGTGCTTCAAACCTAATTTTAGGTTAATTTTTAGAATTTACAAAATAATAACATATAAGGGTTATATTTATACACATATGCCAAACTCTACTGAAGTATCTATATCTATTTTTTTTGGTATGTATGTTTTCAAATTATTGGTGGCCAAACTTACATTGCTTACACATTGCAAATTACATTTTTAAACTGGGTGTAAATGATAGCAGTTGATTTCTGGCAGTCTGCAAAGCCATTTTCTAATGCTACAATAGTTATGTTGACTGATTCGCAACTGTGACATCAGCCACAGAAGCAGCTCCAGGAAAAATGATGTTGAAACTCAGCAGCAGCATGGTTAGGGTCCAGGAGCTATGATCAAAATGTGAATTTGTTCACGGGCTAACAGCTCTATTACCAACCAAAGGAAGATTTCTGTGGGACCAAACCAAATTCTTTTTTATGTAAGACTGAGAGAATCCACAAAACTTCCCCCTTTTTCTGTCCATCAAAAGGGGACTGGTGCATTGATCCATCAAAGACTTTCAATCTGTTTGTCATTCATATAATCACTGAATTTGGGTTTGAACAGAAGTGACTTTTCTTAACCAGTAAAGTCAGGAAATACTTTTAAATGTTCATGGTTTTGAAAAAGATAACTTGATTGCCCCAGAGGAAATTAGATGCTCACACACAGAGACAGATGGAAACATGCAGCTGGCTCCTGGGTGACTGCACTGTACTTACGTCAAGGAGCCCACGGGCGCCATCGCTGCTCTCCTTGTTGGCCCTGCACATGGCTTGATAGTCATAAAGGGTAATTCTGTAGGAAAGAATGGAAATGAGCTTCACTAAAGGGGCAAACACAGGAACCAAAGGATGCTATGGGCCAAGCAGCAAGGTGAACAGTCGGTGACGCTACCATCAAGTGCAGCAGTGACAAACACAAATAAATGCAGGCCCAACAAGGATGACAAACCAGGAAAGGGGACCAAAGTTTTGCTACCCCCCAAATGCACCTTTTGGGATATTGATTTTAAGCTGGCTATTAAGAAACACAAGACTCAGAGAGAACCTTTGACCCCCACTCCCTTCCTGTCTAAATGGAATTCAGATGGAAAGGCCTGCTTTAGGAAGGGAATTTTAGCATATTTACCTTAGCCTATTTGAATTAAATATAGCAGATAGGAAGGATCTATGCAAACACTTGTTCTACAGGGGAGACTCTCTGTCCCGTTGTTTCTGGGCTGCCAGCAGGAGTTTGTTTGCCACGTGTTCCCTCTTTCTCCTCTCCCTGTGAATGACCTACTTCCCCCTGGAAATCCCAGACCCTGTCCCTTCTCTTTTGTCCAGAATGGCATGTAAACCTCAACTGCCCAAGGCATTTCAGGTCACGTTCTCAGGTGCCCCCGAATGTACATTTATATCATAAACTTTGGACATTTTCTCCTGTTAATCTGTCTCTGTTAATTTGATTATTAGCCCAGCTAGAAGAACTGAGAAGGTGGGAGGAAAGTGGTATTTTTCTCAGCCACACCAGGAACATGGCCAAGTTCAGGACTGGGGACACAGTCATGTTGCACTTGTGTGACCGCAGAACCAGCTCAGAATGGTTCTATCCTGTCCTATACACAGTAGCCTTTCAGAGACAACAGACCAAAACTGCAAGTCAAGCAGCTGAGTAGGGACAGAGGAGAGACCTCACCTCCAGCTGCACCTGGAAACAAAGTCTTCCCTCCCATCCTCCCACCCCACATGGAACCAAAGGATGGGACACAGCCACAGCATGAGCACCAGTACCCTTTCCGAAACAGAGGGTCTGTCGTCCAAGAAGATCCTGTGCTGACACCTCTTACCATAAATGGCCAAGCTCCAAGGTCCTCCAATTAAAATTTGCCCTGCCAAGACTTCCACATACCTGTTCATTCTCTACCTTTAAGAACCTGCCCATATCCTGGATCAGGGAGTTCATTGGGGCTTTTGAGTTTTAGCTTCCTGTCCTCCAGAGGGGTGCCATTCGTAATAAAATAGCCAGTCTTTCTCCACTGCAATTCTCCGTGTTTAGTGTTTGGCTGCTAGCACAGGTAGACATACTCTCTCTGGACTGTAACACTTGAAGAATAAAGGGAATAATGGTATTGGGGAGGGGTGGGGAGGAGGACAAAGCCCCCAAATTGACAAAATAGTCATTTTGGTTTGACAAGGATGATGTGCACGGACCAGGATACTCCAGAGGGAATATACTGTTCTGAACTGGATTCTGGGATCTGGATGGAAGCCGCCCCAGTCTCCAAGGTCAAGGAAAGCTGGGGAGGGTCATTTTGGATTAAGGAATGGCAGGGTCCTGTCTTTGTCAAGCGCTAGGAGACACGCCTGGCCCAAGATCAGCCCGGCACTTTGGCAACTTGTGGGAAGCCAGCTGGCTCATTGGTTTAATGCCCACTCCCACCACCATAACACTGAGTGTATTCTTACATTTGAAAACAGTGCATTGGATAAGACAAGAAGGGGTGCATTTCTTTTCCTCCACTGGTGATAAAACTATAGCTTTTGTCCCAGTGATGACGTTTACTCAGTTGCAGAGAGGTTCTACTTTATAATTGCTCCAGATATTTTAGTTTCCCATCAACCCTTTTACAAAGTAAAGGAGAATGGCAGTTTCTGAGAGCAAGTTAACAGCTTTTAGATGGAGCAAACACCTTCTTCCAAAGGAGGCATGCATTCCGTCCTTCCCCCAGCTCCCCTTCAAACTATTCTGGGCACCCCAAAGGACAGACACTTAAAGTCCAGCCTGAGTTACATAACAGCTGCCAGATGACATGTTAACACGGCAACACTACAGGAACTTCCACATGGCTGGAAGGGATTCTCCCCGCAGGAATTCCTTTCTAGAATAATACAATGCTTAATGTGGAGCATACTTAATGCTGTGCTGGAAATGGACAACCAGCCAAGTATCTGGCTCGGGGAAGTCCCTGAACACACTTCTCACAGAAATCACTGACAGAGAGCCCTGATAGTAACTCAGCCACAGAGTCAACTGCAGACCACAATCGGTCCCTGCCTGGCCCGGCCTGCCACAGTCTGCAAACGGATCCACAGGGTTTCTATGGGGGACCCTGGAAGGGCTTTCTAGGATTTGGCAAGAATTATTGTTGGCTTCCTCCTTTTCCTACTGCCTGACTCTGTTTCTATAGCTGAAACTTGGGCCGGAGCTGGGGAGAGAGGCACATGCGGTGAGTGGCATGTGTGCGTGCGTGGGGTCTTGTACATGTGGATGCAGTGTGGTCTTGGTTTTAAAGGTTGGTTCTGCCATTTATCCAGGGTGAAATCTTGGGCAGCTTGCTTACCCTCTTCTGGGGCTTCCTTTTCTCACTTATAAAGTGACTCACAGAGATGGTCTGAGGTTTAAATGGGTAGGTATGTAAACGTGTACTGAAATAAACTACGCCAGAAGGCCTAATTTTGTTCTTTGTTAGAGTTGGGGCTCTTAAAACTACCCTGTACCCAAAGGCCCAAGTGACGAATGGCAGCATGACCTCATAGTTAAAATGCCAGCTTTGAAGTCTGTGACACCTGAGCGTACATCCTTACTCATCAACTTATGACAATTTTTTTTTTAACCTTCTTGGTGCCTCAGTGTCCTTATCTGTAAAATGGTGAGAATCATGGCTACCTTACAGGGTGGCCATGATGATTAATCGAGGCTACATGTGTGTTGCATTTAGCACAGTGCATGATACAGAGGGAGCATTCAACAGAAGGCAGGGCTGCAGCTGCTGCTGTAATTTATTAGTATGGTTTTCATTGCCATTATTAATTAGTGGGGGATGGTGTTTAACGTAATGGGAATTGACTCAGGCTTTACCCAGCTGGTTGGAGGATGGACAGGCCTCCTGGTTTTCTTAGCTCACTGACACACATGATAAGCTGTAAAATTCACACATTACTGCAGTGTCCTCATAAGGCAATTTCAGGAGCTGTGCTGCGGTTATCAAGAGACAATGCAGGAAATTCTGTTCACGGGCTTCTCAGCGGAGGACCATGATAACAACAACTGATGTCTATCAAATTCTATTCAGCAACCACGAGCAAGGTACTCTTCTGAACATGTCCCTATGAGACAGTTCTAGTCATTCCCATTTTACAGAGAGGCAAACCAAGTCTCAGCCAGTCTAAACAAGGTACCCAAGTTCACATACCTAACAAGTGGCAAAACCAGGCTGATGGGGGCCAAGCTGATCCCACCTTCCTCTGTCTTCTGCTCAGTAGCAATCTGACAGATTCTAGGAACTGCCTAGAATTCAGCCCTGGACTCATCCCAGAGTCTTATTGGAATGTCACTGGCAGGGCTGCCCGAGATAAGGTCTCAGAACCAATGTCCAGAATCAACTTGCAACTGAAGCTGAGGGGCTGTTGTGGGGTCCCTGGGCCAGGCTGGACCAGCTGGCTGGGCTAGTGAGAGCCCGTTGCCATGGTAACCACCCCCGACAGACAGATGGCAGGAAGCTCAGGACTCCCCTGGGATCACTTTCAAAGGCTGTAGTTTACATGTTGGGGCCAAACTCAATTGCTCTGCGTCAGCCTCCAGGCCAGGGTTCCTGCCTTTCATTTCACCAGGAAGCTCTCCTGATACCATGGCTGGTACCGAGGCTACAAAACAAGCCTCCCCTGTCTTCTCCACGCTTAGACAGCTTTAACTAGACGTTGCAGAAAGAGCGACTTCCCGATTATTACCCTTTTTGAAGTGATTTTGTTACTGTTTTAAATAACTCCATTTTGTGGTACCTGCATCCTGTTGGGCTGATTATAGTTAAAGAACATGATAATTGCCTGCTTTCATTCTGCTCTAAAATAAGCCCCAAGCATGGGCCCAGCCCAGGATCGGTGCTGCTCTGCTGCCCTCAGCAGGAGGAGTTTATTCTTATATAGATAACACGCCTTAATCTCCATGACATCACCACCAGGCCCTTCAACCCCTGGACCTTATCATTAGCATCTCTGTGCTCCCCAGATAGGTCTCTTTGAAACTTTGACAGAAGGCAGATAGGGTCTCTGAAGAAGCAGCTCAAAGCGTACAAACAAAGCCTGGACAACCCTACACGCCCCTGGACCCCGTAGAGCCTGAGATGACAGGCCTGTCACATTAGGGCTTGTTGAAAGCCATTTTGCTGATTCTGTTCTTTTCCAACTCGACAAGAAATCACGACCAAGAAAAATATTTCTTCTAAGAATTAGAAGGTTGAATTTCAAAGGCATGAGCTTAGCTACTTTAGGTTGTTAGGAACTATGGGAACCAGCATTTATCAAACACCTACTATGTGCCTGTGAGGCCAGATACTTTAGCTGTAATGACTCCGTGAATTAGCTTGCTTTGGCTAAACAGTTTGCCTAAAAACCAAACCTGACACAGCTTAACGATAAAAAATACGGCCCTAAAAGCAGGACAGGGGGCATCTGACATAGAGACCCACCGAGGGACATATTTAAGCCCTTTGAAATCTAAAATTGTGAGAAGCAAAGTGACTCACTAAGGTAGCATGTAAAAATATGTATTTTTTTGTCGAGCTGTAAAATGTGTTCTCTGGGGCAGCTTTCAACTTACAAGTGACAGGGGCATGGGGCAGGAACAGAAAATATTCTCAACAGAGGGGCTGTGGCCATGGGAAGCCTGACTCCCTTTTTACCTCTCAGAAAGCCAGGAAGGTGGAAAGCTCAGTCTTTTGACCTGAGTGCTAACAGAAGATCCCCCAAACGCTCTGCCTTCTTTCCTTTTTGCATCGGTCGCCATGTCACCCCACAGCAGCTTCTAACAGAAAATGC